TTTTCCTCTGAGAATGCAGCAGATGAAGCAGAATGACGACTGGATGAAGAGAAACGAGAGGTAGCGCTTGCCCATACATGTTCCCAAGAAGTAAACAAATCCTGAATGGAGAGGAAAATGGCGTCAGTATCCTATAAAGAAAAATGCAAACATTTAGCATCTTCATTACAGTGAATGAAGTAAAGACGAAAGATAAAATAAAGGCTACCTCATCATTAGCTTTGGAAAATTGGGGCACATCACTGGTTGATCCAACCACTTGTAGGGACTTCTCTATGTCTAAACGAGCAAAATCTTCCACAATGGGCAGATCTATGGGTATTTCGACAAGAATCAAGTGATAATGAGTTAAAGGCCAACAACATAAACAAAGGGAAAGACCATAAAATATGTATTACCTGCCGGTTCAATACATGGGGGGTCAGCTCCTTGGAAGTGTAGAAGTTTTCCAGTTGGCCGTGTGATCAAAGGCTCTTAGACTGTGGGCCTCTCCTTAGACAAAGTCCTTTCGTCAGATGAGTTAGACGGAGAAGCTTTGATGGAAGGAGGTGGAGCAAGAGCCGGTAAAGACAACGCCTTCAGAGGAGAAGTGGAGCTTTTCTGAAAAATTCAGGTAAAATATTAACATATAAAAGATTTCTGTTTTTTCATGAATAAACCAAATCGGTTACCTTTCTTCTGATGACGAGAGGGGCATCATCATCATCATCGGGCAAACCTGACGAAGCCGAAGCTGGCCGTTTGCGGCTGGGAACACCTTTGGCTGTTCAAGTTTGAGCATGTGGGGAACTAGATGGAACAGCAGGATGTTTAACACTAGCGGGAGGGGATTTCGGAGGAAAAATGGGAGTCCGACGATAAAGAAATGGCAAGAATGTGAGAACTGGAAGGAGTCAAATGCTTTTTCAGCAAGTGGAAAGCGTGGTTAACATCGGTTGCAAACAACCTACGCTTCATGGATGACCAAAATTGCTCAAAAAAAGGGTAAATGACAAAAGTGAGATTAAAAGGGGCTAAGGAGAAGCCGTTTGTCAAAAGAATATTATGAGAATCAATGGTCTGTGCTTCTGTTTTATTGATAGTATGGAAACGTTCTGTCAGGCTTTTGGAAAAAAAAAGGGAGGAATCGACCAAGTTTGGCCAAAACCAAGCTGACGGGCAAAAAATCGGGAGCATATATCTCAACCACTACCTTAGCATTTGTTCCGGTTAAGATATCATGGAACAGTTCTTTCCCAACCAAATATTGGGCCCAAATGGGCGAAAAAGTGCTCACATTATCCATGGTAGAAAAAGGTTGCATGTAGATTGGAACTGAGTGAGCAGGAAAAGGAAAAAAAGAAAGAAATTGAATTCAAGTTATAAAAGAATGAGACAGCGTCCTTATTGGACATATTAACATGACTCAATTGGTTAATAGCGCGCCCA